GCACCACCACCACGTCCAGCACTGCCACCAGCGCCGGGCCACCCAGGCGGAAGACGACTCGTCCGCCTCTGCTGCTGCTGCGGCTGCGGCGACGGCTGCGACTGCTGCGGCGGCGACGGCTGCGACTGCTGCGGCTGCGACAGTTGCGGCTCGCGTGGGTCCGGCGGCAACACCGGCGACTGCTGAGACGGCTGCTCGCCTGCACCTGGCAGGGTCCCTGCGTCAGCACCACCACTAGGTGATCCAACTCCAGCACCACCTACACCCGCACCCCCACCCCCGTCGCCACGTCCAGCCTTGGGGTGGCGACCCTTCCCCGGACGAACCTGTGCGGCAGCGGCAGTCTCAGCCACAGCGACAGAACCGTCGGAGAAGGTGCACTGAGCGGGGGCACAACCTTAAAAGATAAAGACCAGCACAGTACCGCTGGTCTGACCGATAGAGCGGTGGCGGGCCTCTATAGCGGACACGGTGTCAACAAAGTCAGTGAGGGTAAGGTCTGCGAGGTGGACGCTAAGAAAGCGGTCATGGGCAGTGGCAAGACGGTCTGGGAGGCGGGTGGCTAGCAGGTAGAGAGTAGAGGTGAGGGGCGGCTGGTGGGCTAGAAGCTGTGTGGGGGTGCAGGCAGCACGCCAGGTCTCGGCTATGGTGCGCAGGTGAGCAGCCAGGTCGGCGACAGTGGGGAACGACACAAGGTCAGGAAAGAGCATGGGGAGGATCAGACGACCGACCGAGGCAGCAGGCGGGGTGGAATAGCGCTGGACAATAGCATCTAGGAAATCCTGGGCAGTGGTGATAGGCTTGAAGCGAGGTCGCTCGGACAGGGGGTGGGCCTTGCTAATAGCAAGCTGTGCAACAGCGTCATGGGACAGCCAGACAGAGCGAGCAAGGGCAGCGGCTGCAGCGGACTCACGCTCAGCAGACGAGGGGTCAGGAGACAGTGCAGCGGGGGGGTCAGGGCAGGGGAGGGCACGATGGATAGACAGCGAGTGGCCATCCTGCCGCTGGCCAGTGAGATGGCGACGGAGGTCAGCAAGCCACGCATCAAACTCAATCGGCTGGCCCTCTGCGTCAAAGCAAAGCACCGGCGCCATGAGTGACAATAGAGGGCAGTGTAGAGTAGGACAGTGCGGTGTAGTGCTGTGCAGTGCGGTGCAATGCGGTGCAATGCGGTGCAGTGCAGTGTAGTGCGGTGCAGTGTGGTACAGTACAGTACAGTGCGGTGCAGTGCCGTACAAAGCGGTGCAATGTGGTACAGTGCGGTGCAATGTGGTGCAGTGTGGTACAAAGCGGTGCATTACGGTGCAAAGCGATGCAGTACGGTACCGGAGGGTTTCGGAGGGCGGTGCTGATCGGGAAGTACGGACCGAACCCGAGGCAGCGGCGGGCCAGCGACGGCGCGAATGCAGGGGCCGGCCGGCGGGCGGCAAGTAGACACGGCCGCGACGGCGGCCAGGGACAGCCGGGACGACAACCAGGGGCAGCCGCGACGGCGGCCAGGGACAGCCGCGACGGCGGCCAGGGACTGCCGCGACGGCCGCGAGGGGCGGCCGCGACGGCAGGAGCGACCGTGAGGCGGCTGGAGACGGCAGCGGCGGCGGCTAGGGGCGGCCACGATGGCGAGGGGCGGCCGATACGACTAAGGGCGGCCGAGGGATGGCAGGAAGCGGCCGCAATGGCGGCTAGAAGCAGCCGCGACGGCTAGGGGCGGGCTCAAACGGCCACGGGGCCAGCTAAGGATGGGCGAGAATGGCCAGGGGGGCGGCATGGGGCGAGCGCGACGGTCAGGGGGGGCCGCTAGGAGAGATCGCGACGGGCAGGGGGCCGGCTAGGAGCGGGCGCGACGACCAGGGGGCCAGCGAGAGACGGGCGCGACGGCTAGGGGGCTGGCTAAGGGCGAGCGCGACATCTAGGGGGCCAGCTAGGGGCGGGCGCGAACGGTCAGGGGTCGGCTAGGGACGGGCGTGACGGTCAGGGGGCCAGCTAGGAGTGATCGCGGCGGTCAGGGGGGCGGCTAGGAGCGGGCGCGACGGCCAGGGAGCCAGCTAGAGACGGGCGCAATGGCTAGGGGTCCGGCTAGGGACGAGCGCGACGGCCAGGGGCCGGCTAGGGATGGGCGCGAACGACCAGGGGGCCGGCTAGGGACGAGCGCGAACGGCCAAGGGGCCGGCTAGGGACGGGCGCGAACGGCCAGGGGGCCGGCTAGGGACAGGCGCGAACGGCCAGGGGGCCGGCTAGGGACGAGCGCGACGGCCAGGTGGGGGGCGGCTAGGAACGTAGGGGTGAAAGCATGAGCGGGCAAGGGGGGGATCTCACCTACTATGATACCATATCAGAAAGAAAATGATTGATCTAGAATGTGTGTGTACAAGGATACATAGACTAGGGTGTTGTACCCTCTAAGGCACAATCCAGTATAGTCTATAGTAACAACCTAAGTTGCATTTGACAATTCCACCCACAACATCCTCCCGTCCAAAGCTTTTGCGCACACCTACAAAACCTGACACAATCCAGCCAACCAAACGATTGCAATTTGTGTGGCGCTGTTCATAGATTGACTTTTGACGACGATCGAACGGCTCACGTTCCAATCACTTCTATTTTACATTGGGACCATTTTGCCCGACGGCCGAAAGGAAGCAACAATCCCCCCAAACTAGTCGTTGGAAAGCACTTGCTCGAGCTGCTCTCATGTGGTTCGCGTTCCAGTCATAGCCAATAATACAACTTCGCAACTGGTCTTAGTTAAGTGCAGAAGTGGAGGACATTCTTCTCCATGTGCCTGATTTAGAGTCGCGGCACACTGCATCTATTCAGACGAGGGATGTCCAATGTTTACATCCCTAGCCAGATGTAACCAGGCATTGGGATCTGCATGGCAGTTCATAATTTTCCACAATTTTGAACTCCGCACAATATTCGTCCACCTCGGGCTCATGGCTGCCATGCAAAAGCAGCCCACTGTAATGAATTTCCATTCCTTACTGAGTTGTATGCTAGCGCGTACACCCGAACTTCTCGACTCGTCACGTTCGGCTTCATTTGTCAGCCCAACCCTTTCTTGACTCGCGTCCGACACTGTTGCCACATTGCCAAGCCTACCCACTTTCCGAGGTTATCGCCCTAGCATGCCAACCCCTATATAACCTCGTGCCTTCATTGCAATAGTGACTTGTATTCCCACGTTATAGTTCATTGACGATTCCTATATCATAACAGCTGGTATCAGAGCCCGACCTTTCTCGGAACCTTCTGTTCTCACGCTACTTAATTGAGGGTGGTCAGAGGGAATTAGCAAGGCTACACAGCAGTTGTCTTGGGCCATAAATATTTTTACGCCAACAACTACAGTGTGTGCGCTAGCTTTTGCCCCGTCCTGACCGCCATGGCCCTGGTAGATTCGATTGTAGAGGAACAGTCCACCTCAACTGCGGCGAACCCTGCCCGGGAAACTGTGGACCCGCAAGCATTAATAGAGCAGTTGCAGAATTTGACATGCGTCGTCAACGAACTCCGCGACGAGAACCAACGTCTTCGCCAAGCGCAGAAGATGCGTTCAGAGGATCCGGACGACAATGCACCAAGTGAGGCGGGTGAGCAGAAACCGTCGCCAGTGGAGGTGGCATGACTAGCCGCAACGGCCCCGTGCTCGACAAGTGGCGGCGTAAGATATCAGCAACCTGCTCCTTTCGATCCAGCCAATAATGGCGTGACGGTGCGGCAGTGGACATTCGCCATGAATATCTATTTTAACGCGGCGGGCATCAGAGACGATCAGAAGATGATCAGCCACGCGTTAACACTATTGCAAGGGGCCGCCCTACAGAGGTGGAAGGTCGTCGACTCTGTGGCAACTCGCACAGAAGGACAGCATGAGTGGTCCAAATAATTCGGCGACTTGACGAGGCAGATATGTTGTTCGGAGCAACCCACATTCGCATGTGGGCAACGTGGTGCGCAGAGCTTCGCAAGCGGTTTGAGCATGCTCCTGACTTAGACAAGGCACGCAAAACTCTACGCCTGTGGAAGCAGCTGGGATTTGTGTCCAAGTACACCGCGTCATTCTTGACGTTGGTGGATAGATGTGCCTACATGCACGAGTTGGAGAAGGTCGACAAGTACATGGGCGGCTTGAAGCCCAAAATATAGTACCAGATAAAACTACAGTGCCCTGCGAAGTAGTAACAAGACTACATTCAAATGCCGGAGCCGCTGATTTGATCACGAAGTCGAGGACGAACTTCTATGACGGAGGTTGCCTTCGAGAACAGTACTAGTGTGCCACGATAAAAGGGGTGGATGCAGTGGACATTTACGCAATTGCTCTGCAAAACACGAGGCTATGCTACCACTGTGGCTGGCTGGGTCACATTCGACGCAACTGCCAAGAATTCATAGCCCTCCAGAATTCTATGGGGAAGAAGCCGGAGGAGCGGCCGGGAAATGGGTCGCGTCAGTAAGTACCGGGCCCCTTACTGACGGGCAGGCTTCTTCGCCCGAGCCACACAGTCCCCACCGGGTTATGATCCCGATTGCTGCAATCGTCCGGACCCCGACGAATAAGGGGGACGAAATTGCTTATCACCCTGTGTTGGTGGAGGGTAAAGTCAACAGGGTGTTATTGAAGATTTTCGCTGATTGAGGCGCGAGTCAGAGTCTCATACAATTGGACAAGGCTAAAAAATTGGGTATACCCTTACTCAAGTGTCTACCTGAAATCGACGCCCGAGTGGTGGACGGGACACCGCTGGCAATACGGGAACGAGTGGAGAGCATCGGTTTTAACTGTGGGGAGCATGTAAAATTTCGGATGAGACTACTGGCGACTACTCTCGACGGGTGCGACGTGCTGCTGGGACGTGATTGGTTGCGACGGTACAACCAGAAGATTGACTGGACGACAGGCGGCTGCAGCATCAAGCTCGATGGGATCTCCTGCGAGCTACCCAAGTGGACGGGACCTCGCATGCGAAGCACCCAAGTCCACGCGATCACTTTGAAACGTGTGATGAAAGTTGGAGCTGCAGCGTACCTCGTTGATCTTCGCGAGGTGACATCGACGGTCAAGAGCGAAGATATCGAGAAGCTGTGCAAGGCCGTTCCTCCGGAATTAGTGGAACTGATTCGGAAATACCCAAGGATTTTCCCAGACGATCAGCCAGCTGGACTCCCACCGAGCCGACCTGAGGACCACCGGATCGAGCTGGAACCAGGCGCCCAACCGACGGTACAACGCCAATTTTGGCTCAGCCAACCAGAACTAGAAGAAATGCAGCAGCGGCTGGATTACCTTCTAACGAAAGACTTTATCTGGCCCAGCACGTCACCATACACCACCCCGATACTGTTCATGCCGAAGAAGGATGGAGGATTCAGAATGTGCATCGACTACCGTGCGCTCAACCGGATCACCACCAAGTCGCGTTACCCGATCCCGCGAGCCGACGAACTTCTGGACCAACTTCGCGGCGCCAAGTTTTTCTCGAAAATCGACTTGCGCGGCGGTTACCATCAGATTCGCGTCGCCGCCGGAGATTATCACAAGACAGAATTCCGAACCCGTTGCGGAAGCTACGAGTACCTGGTGATGCCTTTTGGCCTCACGAATGCGCCCTCGACTTTCCAAATGACCATGAACGGTGTTTTCAGAAAACTCTTGGACAAATGCGTCATTATGTACCTCGACGATATTCTGATCTACAGCCGCAATAGGGAGCAGCACTTACGAGATCTTGATGTAGTCTTCACGCTGCTGCACAAGAATCGCCTCATCACGAAAGGGTCTAAGTGCGACTTTCTTAAGCAGGTGTTGGAATTTCTAGGCCACATCGTCTCTACTGAAGGAGTGAAAATCGACCCCAAGAAAATCAAGACCATAAAAGAATGGAAGCCGCCAAGCAACATCAAGGAGCTGCAGATTTTTTTGGGTTTCGTCAATTACGTCCGCAGGTTTATACCAAATATGGCTGGGTTATCTGCCCCGCTAACTAATCGAGTCAAAGATCACGATTGTTTTTGGTGGAGAGAGAAGCAGCAAGCCGCATTTGACCAACTGAAGATTGGGCTCACGTCACCGCCCATCCTTTGCATCGCCGATCCTGACCGTCCATATGAAGTCATCACCGACGCTAGCGACATCGCCATCAGCGCAGTCCTTTTACAAGATTTTGGTGAAGGATTACAGCCGGTCGCCTACGAATCACGGAAGCTGCAGGGCGCAGAGAAATATTATACTGTACACGACAAGGAAGTGTTAGTGATCGTTCACACGTTCAAGACCTGGCGGTGCTACCTGACTGGCGTTGATGTCACTGTGCGAACAAACCACAAATCCCACAAGTACCTGCGAGCCCAGCCGAACCTCAACCCGCGACAAATCCGATGGCTCGATTTCCTCCAGTCAAACTTCCACTACACCATCACCTACAAATGGGGCACCAACAACATTGCCGATGCCCTGACCCGACCCACTGCCCATAGAGCCGCCATACTAATCGCCCAAACCAGCCCACTCCGTAAAGGACTATTTATCCATGGCTACAAGATCGACCCTTTGTTCTGCTCCGCCATTCACCAACAGTATACCATTGCTACCGGACACTATTCTAACAAGCGCTACATTTCCCGTATGTGGGTTCTCCGCTACGATATACTGCGAACCCTCCTAATCAAGGAATCCTACAACAACCCTACCTCTGTTTTTTTTTTTTTTTTTTTTTTTTTGGGCTTTAAGGAAACCCTACCTCTGGGCATTTCGGATTCGACAAAACCATGAGGACATTCTAGCATCATTATTACTGACCGAACATGGCCGATGACGTGCGCAAGTATGTGTCCTCCTACACCGCCTGCCAAATTATGAAATCCTCCCATCAGCAAGCAGTGGGACACCTATAGTCGTTGGATCCGCCCGAGTGACCCTGGCAACACGTCACGATGGACTACGTGACAGGACTGCCAGCCGGTCCCAACGGAAACGATGCCATCCTCGTGGTTGTTGACCAACTCATAAAAATGGCGCACTTCATCAACTACCAACAGAAAATTACAGTTGAGCCAACTGCCCAACTGTTCATCGCCAACGTCATTAGGCTACACGGACTGCCCACCGCCATCATTGCAGGCTGAAGCCCGAAACTCACATCAAAATTATGGCGCCACCTGTGGGACCAATTTGGCACCAAACTCTATTTTTCCTCCGCCTACCACCCACAGACTGACGGGCAGACCGAGCGCGTTCACCAAACCATGGAGCAACTCATTCAAACTACCTGCACTGACCCACAGACATAGGAGAAATCCCTCCCCTTGTTGGAATTTGCGTACAATAACGCACCTTCCGCCACAACCCTTCAATCCCCATTTTTCCTAAATCACGGACAAGACCCCGTGGTACCCTCTACACCAAACATCGAGACACCAATGCCCCGGTCACAGCAATTTGCTGAAGACATCCTAGCAGCCCGAGAAAAAGCAGCCGAGGCAATCCGGAAAGCCAACTTGGTCGCAAGCCGACAAGCCGATCGTCATCGACGTGACGTCACTTACAAAGTGGGCGATCTTGTACTACTCGACACTCGCAACTTGCGTCTGCCGATCCCGAGCAAACTCTGACCCCGCTTCTATGTACCTTTCTGAGTGACCAATATGGTGACACCTGTCACCACTCACCTCCGACTCACGGTAGACTGGCGTCACCACCTTCTTAGCGTAAACTTATGGTTTGAAATCATAGCATACGTGGCAATATATGCTAAGGAGTTTGTACCCTCTAAGGTACGACCCCATACAGGCTGTATAACATATAAAGATATGTTTGACACACCCCTAGACTGGGTAGGGGAGTGCCTAGTGAGAGACAAGCAACTCAAGATGGCACTACTACTCTGACCTCTGAGGCAAGGGTAAGAGGACTAGTTCACAAGAATACAAAAAGGGCAAGAGCAAAACCAGGGCAGCACTACAAGTCCAACCACAGGGAAGAGGCCACAAGGCCAGTCAGGTAAACATATATATATATATATATATATATATATAGAATGCGCTAAACACAATCAAGGTCCTAGCAAGTGAGGTGCTACAGGAACTAGACCAAGCTGTACACAGTGCCGCTGATGATCTTTAGGCATAAGCGCCTTCGTAAAGATATCAGCTCTGTTGGCACCAGAGGCCAAGTGTACTGCGCGAGCAAGGCGACGCTGCTGTAGCTCGCGCAGGAGGAAGTACCGCAGCTGGATATGTTTCGCTCTGCCCTCTAGTCTAGGCTCTTAACACAGGAGGATAATGGCCCTGTTGTCAATGTACAGGACCGGGGCAGAGCTAGGCCGCTCACCTAGGTCTGTAAGCAAAAAGGTCAGCCAGCGGAGCTCCTGTGCCACCATGGCACCGGCGTAGATCTCAGCCTTACAGTTAGACTGGGCAACGGACGATGAGCGGGTGGACCTCCACGAGACAGCACCTGCACCAAGGCTAGAGGAGTAGCCTTGGGAGGACCTGAGAGTCTCGGCGTCGTGTGCCCAAGACGCGTCTGTGTGCCTAGTAGGGACCATCGGCGCACCAAGTGTGACTGTGTAAGAGTGATGGTGCGCGCTGCTCTGTCCTTGGAGATCTGCAGGCCAAGGTTGCGGCGCAGCTGTCCTAGGTCAGTGCACGTGTGTCTCTTCAGCAGCTCGGCCTTCACAGAGGCCAGTGCGTCTCTGTCTGCAATAGCTAAGACTAGGTCGTCTACGTAGGCAAGGATGTAGAACGAAGTCTGGCCAGAACCGACAAAGAGCGAGGGGTCTGCAGACGACGGGAAGAACTGTAGGTCAGCAAGGGTGGCACGCAGTGTGTCGTGCCACTCACGGGGCGCCTGATGCAGGCCGTAGACGCGGCGCCGGAGGAGCCACTTCGTACCAAGGGGGAAGGTAATGGAGAAGCCCTAGGGGTGGCACAAGTAGACCTACTCATGTAGACTGCCCCGGACGAACGCTGTAGAGAAGTCGGGGGAGTGCAGCTCATAGTCATGCTGCACTGCTATGTGTAGCAGCACCCAAAGAGTAGTCATCTTTGGGGTCGGGGCGAAGGTCTGAAAGAAGTCCACCCCCTCACGCTGTTTGAAGCCTCTAGCCACGTAGCGCGCCTTGAAGACAGGCGGCTCTCTAGGAGGGCGCTTCACCCTGAAGAGCCATCGGCCATCGACTACGTTCACCCCAGGTGGAAAAACTGCGTCGACGAAGGTACCGGTGGATCTAGAAGATGCCATCTGCTGCTTCCTGGCAGCTATCCACTGAGAGGCCCAAGGTCCCGAGGTGGCCTCAGCGTAGGTGCGAGGGGTCGGGATGTCGAGGGCGTCTGGGTCACCCTTAGGGACTAGCAGCATGGAACAGAGATGGGGAGCGGCCCCGGACAGGAAAGCGAGCTCGTACTGCTGGTCCTCTAGGATGTCACTGCCAAGGTCAGCCACAACCCCGACGGACGGAGGGCAGGCAGGGTCAGAGACCAGAGCGGTAGCGTAGTCAAGGCAAAGTCAGTGACACTAGCGACACGAGCCGACAGACTCGAGACAGGAACGGACAGGTCGGTAACAAGGGAGGCAAGGACACGAGGAACAAGGGGACGCACGGCACGAAGGAAATCAGAGAACGGAGGCGGGGCCAGGCGGGGAGGAGACGGAGGAGGAGACGGAGGAGAAGACGGAAGGAGCAGAGGGGCATGAGACAAGTGTGAATGAAGCAACATGGGGTGAGAACACTGAACAAGGGAGGTAGGACGAGCAGGGGACAGACGAGGATCCCAGAGGTGAGAAGAGGGAGTCGGGTCAGGAGAGTGGGGAGAAGACACAGAAGGAGAACGAGCAGGGAAACGAGCCGGAGAGGAGTCTCGTGGAGGGAACACGGGTCTGTAGACCGGCAGAGGAGGAGGCGGCGGCAGCGATGGAGACGCAGGCAGGCAGTCAGGGGAAGGAAGACCGAGGAGGCGGAGCGCAGACATTGGCGGCGACTGCTGCTGCTGCGACTGCTTCACGCCAACACTAGAACCTCCAGCGGCTCCACGGCTACCTCCGAGATGCTCCACGCCCGCACCCCCAGAGCGGGAACCCGCCGCATTACCCAGTTCTAGACGCACCCCAGCACCCCCAGAACGCACAAACCCCAGCGGCGGCGACGACAACGGCTGCGGCTATGGCTGCGGTGGCGATGTCAGCGGCGGAGGCTACTGTGGTGGCGAGAGCGGAGGAGGGACTGGGGTGGGAATAGGCAGTGGACGGGAATCCTCAGAGCCACGGGAGTCAGCAGACTCCTTGACAGGGACTATGGACGGGGTGGGAGTGACGTGAGACACACTAGACGGGGCAGGGCGTGGAGCTAGTGAAACAGGGGGGACCGAGGGGGGGGAAACTAGGGACAGTGGGGGGTAAACCGGGGGACCACGGTGGGGAAAGCAGTGGTAGAAGGAGATGGACTCGTCAAAGTAACGTCGCGAGAGTGAAAGGACCGGTGAGATGGCGGGTGGTAGAAGTACCTGTCAGACGAGTCGAGGGGGAAACCGAGGAAAACATAGGGGACTGTGCAGGCAGTGAGCTTGTCCATGCTAGGGGCACGAACGTGAGCAAGGCATGGATCATGGAGGTACGAGCCACCCCCATGACCAAACCGATGCAGCACTCAGCGACCCCATTCTGCTACAAGGAGTCCGGCAGGGTGTACGTCTGGGTGATGCCCTCCGCACGACAGTAACGACCAAGGGTACCAGAGGCGAACTTGCCACCACGGTCAGAGTGAAGACGAAACACCGGGAGACCTCTGTGAACACGCATAGAGACAAGCCACAGGAGGAGAACGTCAGGCACGTCGGCCTTCCGCTCCAAGGGAAACACCATGGTGTAGCGCGTGTAGGCGTCGGCAAGCACAAGGAAGTAGCGCTCGCGATGCGGCCCATGGGTGGGGGAGGGGCCCCAGACGTCCATGTGAAGGGTCTGCAGCGGTGCTGTGGTGGGAGGGAAAGAGGAGGAGTGAGGGGCAGGGCGGAGCCGACCCTCGACATAGGGGGTGCACGGGGGCGCTAGTGAGGAGGGCAGCGCAGGGAACGACTCAGGGAGACCTAAGACAAGACCGTGCTTAGACATGTGTCGCAGACGTGTGAGGGCAGGGTGACCTAGACGGTGGTGCCAAAGAAGTAACGGGTGGGTAAGTGACCGACACGAGCAAGCCGCGGCTACCTGGGTAGAAGCAGACACCTGAGGAAACGTCCCGACCAGGGGGGATGCGGTGTCCAGCGTGAATAGGCCGGACACCGGGTCCTAGGGGAACGTGGTGAGGGGAGCACCAGTGGCGGCCTCTGTACAGATAGTGTACCGCTCATGACCAGGGAACGTAGTGGTGACGCTGAGGTCTTGGAGGCAGCCGACAACAACTAGGTTCCTGGAGAACGAGGGGATGTGCAGGCCTAAACGAGAGCCCGAAGAAACTGCCGGACAAGGGAGGGTAGTGGAACTACGGGCGACTACCGGACCGGAGGAGGGGTCTGCAAGGGCAACTGCAGTTGGGGCGGCAAGCAGTGTGAGCGTAGTGGAGTCCCAAGAGAAACACTGGGACACGCCAGAGTCCAGGGTGAAGGAGAGAGCTGCGGTGGTGTCCGGGGGCGGAGGAGCGAGGGTGGAGCCAAGGCTACACAAGGCAGAGGATCGTATGCCTGATGCAGCAGGGGAGCCTGAGCTAGACATACTGGGCACACATACTGTACACTAGGTAACACAGGGTAATAGGAACAAGTCACACTAGAGTCATCAAAATATAGGGCATACAATGCAGAGCTAGTCTCATCCATATCCATCTCAAAGATCCTAACATCACGGCGGGGGCACTGAGCGGGGGCACACCCCTGAAAGATAGGGACCGGCGCAGTATCGCTAGACTTGGGGATAGAGTGCTGATGTGTCCCTATGGAAGACAGGGTGTTTACGAAGTCAGTGAGGGTGATGTCAGCGGGGTGGAGACTCACAAAATGGTCGCAGGCTATGGCAAGGTGGTCAGGGAGGCGGGTGGCAAGCAGGTAAAGGGTGGAGGTGAAGGGGGCCTGGAACACAAGAAGCTGGGCTTTGGTGCAGGCAACCCGCCTGGTCGTGTCTAGCGTGCGCAATTGCGTGGCCAGGTCAGCGACAGTGGGGAAAGAGGCGAGGTCAGGGAAGAGCATAGGCAGGATTAGGCGGCCAATGGAGGCAGAGGGCGGGGTGGAATGGCACGCAACAACGGCCTCTAAGAATTCCAGGGCAGTCCTGACCGACCTAAAGTGGGGTCGCTTGGACAGGGGCAGGGCGTGGCTGATCACTAGCTGGGCGACAGCATCACGAGACAACCAGACAGTGCGGGCAAGCGCAGCAGCGGTAGCAGAGTCACGGTCGGCAGACGTGGGGTCAGCAGGTAGAGGAGTAGAAGGGTCAGGGCAGGGAAGCGTACCGTCGAGGTGGACGGCCAGGGAGTGGCCGTCCTGCCGCTGACCAGTGAGCTGGCGGCGGAGGTCGAGGAGCCACGTATCGAAATCGATAGGTTGACCCTCCATGTCCAAGCGCAGGACTGAATCCGCCATCACGGTCGCGGCTGCAGCAGACGGGCGGCAGTGAGCTGAGCTGAGCAAAGGACTGCGGTGCAGTGGGGGTAGGAGCGATGCAGTGTGGTTAGGAGCGATGCGATGTGGTGGTAAATTTGCGTCGCCGCCGAAGACTGTAACAAAACCGCCTTCCGAACACGCTACGGCAGTTACGAATACCTGGTGATGCCTTTTGGCCTCACGAACGCGCCTTCAACGTTCCAGATTACCATGAACGGCATTTTTTGGGAACTCTTGGATAAATGCGTTAGTATCTACCTCGACGACATACTAATCTACAGCCGCAGCCAGGAGCAGCACTTACGAGATCTTGATGTAGTCTCCACGCTGCTGCACAAGAATCGCCTCATCACGAAAGGGTCTAAGTGCTACTTTCTTAAGCAGAAGTTGGAGTTTTTGGGCCACGTCGTTTCTACCGAAGGAGTGAAAATCGACCCCAAGAAAATCAAGACCATACAGGAATGGAAGCCGCCGACCAACCTCAAAGAACTACAGAGTTTTCTGGGTTTCGTCAACTACGTCCGCCGTTTTATCCCAAATATGGCTGGGTTACCGAGTGAAGGATCACGAATGTTTTTGGTGGGGAGAGAAGCAGCAAGCTGCATTCGACCAACTCAAAATCGCCATCACGTCGCCGCCCGTCCTTCGCATCTCCGATCCCGACCGTCCATACAAATTCGTCACCGACGCCAGCGACATCGCCATCGGTGCAGTTCTCCTACATGATTTCGGCGACGGGTTACAGGCAGTCGCCTACGAATCACGGAAGTTGCAGGGCGCAGAGAAGAACTATACAGTGCACGATAAAGAAATGTTGGCGAACGTCCATGCATTCAAACCTGGCGGTGCTACATGACAGGCGCTCACGTTACAGTGCGAACTGACCACAAGTCCTTACAATACGTGCGCGCCCAACCGAATCTCAAACCGCAACAGATCCGATGGCTCGATTTGCTCGAGTCGAATTTCCATTACACCATCACCTACAAACGAGGGGCAAATAGTATTGCCGATGCCCTGACTCGCCCTACTGCCCATACTGCCGCTATACTAGTTGCCCAGACAAACCCATTACTTACGGGAATATTCACCCACGGCTACAATATCGATCCCTTTTTCCGCTCCGCTATCCATCAACAGCATACCACCGCCACCGGACCTTATTTTAATAAGCGCGGTACTTCTCGCCTCTGGGTGCCCAGCTACGATTTACTTCGTACCCTCCTAATCCAAGAATCCCACGACAACCATACCTCCGGGCATTTCGGCGTCGGCATTTTGCTACAGAGGAATTATTTCTGGCCGAACATGGCCGATGACGTGCGCAAGTACGTGTCCTCTTGCACTGCCTGCCAGATTATGAAATCGTCGCATTAGCGAGCAGCCGGACTACTACAGCCGTTGGATCCGCCTGAGCTACCCTGGCAACACGTCACGATGGACTACGTGACAGGACTACCGGCCGGCCCCAGCGGAAACGACGCCATCCTCGTGGTCGTCGACCGACTCACGAAAATGGCGCACTTCATCGCCTGCCAACAGACTATCACAGCCGAGCAAACTGCGCAACTGTTCCTCGCGAACGTCATCCGACTGCACGGACTGCCCCCCGCCATCATTTCAGACCGAGACCCGAAATTCACATCGAATTTCTGGCGCCACCTGTGGGACCAGTTCGGCACCAAACTCCAATTTTCCTCCGCCTACCACCCACAGACCGACGGGCAGACCGAACGCGTCAACCAAACCATGGAGCAACTCTTTCGAACTACCTGCACTGACCCATCGACATGGGAGAAATCTCTCCCGCTGCTGGAGTTCGTGTATAACAATGCATCCTCCGCTACAACCCATCAGTCCCCGTTTTTTCCTCAATTACGGACAGGACCCCGTGATACCCTCTACCCCGAACATTGAGACACCCGTACCCCGGTCCCGGAAATTAGCTGAAGACATTCTCGCCGCCCGCGAAAAGGCCGCTGAGGCAATCAGGAAAGCCAATCTGGTCGCAAGCCGACAAGCCGATCGACATCGCCGTGACGTCACTTACAAAGTGGGAGATCTCGTCCTTGTGAGAGTACGCCTCCGTTACACCACTTGGCCTTTTCCATATTTCATCTTCATTTCATTCCTCTTTTTATCTCATCGCCTTTTGCCTCATATTCCCCATTTTCCATTATCCTTTGGTTTCTTCCTTTATTATTATTATATCACCGACCAGGCATGGAATGTTCTAGACACGCTATCTAGCGTAATCCTGCTGTAATCCCTTAAAGCCAATAGCCTCGCGTGGCTATACGCAGGGTGATTCTATCTTCTAGAAGGGTCTATTCCCTTAGGATAAGATAAACCTGGTTACCTGATGTACTCTGGAAGTATAAAAGCGCCTTGTACCGATCGATAGTGCAACCTTTCCTCGACACATTCGATCCTGTGACACTTGGTAATCAGAGCTTTTCCCACTCGGCCGCGCTCAGCTAAGCAGCAGCAGCGGGGATCCTGCCTCGAAAAACCGCCGGGGGGCGACCAATTCGACGCCGATTCTGGTAAGCACCAGCTCCGCGATTTTCGAATTACCCCCTCCGTGCGTGTTTTGAACAGGATGGCAACCTTCGACAACGCCGAGGTTACCCAGCAGCTCTTCGCGCGCATCGCAGCCCTTCAGGAGGAAATGCGAGCGGATCGCGAAGCGTGGCGAAACCAGTTCGAGCGAGTAACTCGACTCGCCGGAGCGCAGCACGAGACGACAACGGCGACAACGCAGCAGTCGCAGCAGTTTCTCGAGGCTCCGAAACCGCGCCCACCTGAGCCGTTCGATCCGAGCGATCGAAACTCCGACGCCCGCAGATGGATCGCCGGGATGGAGATCTACTTCGCAGCCGTCGGATGGAGCTCGCCAGTCTGGGACGGTCAACGCGTACGACTCGCGGCGACACTGATGCGAGGGCCGGCACTCGAGTGGATTGGCGGCAACGGTACTTTCATCCACGGTGAAGCCACGTGGCAGCAGTTCCGCGCCGACCTGCTGAAACGCTTCGAACCGATAAATTCGAGTTTCCTTGCCCGGGAAAAAATTCATCGACACCGACAGTTCGGGAGTGTAGCACAGTACACGCAGCAGATGGAAGAATTTTATAACCGCATTCCCGACCTGACCGAAGGGGAAAAAGTGCAATCGTACCTCGCAGGGCTGAAGACCGAAGTCAAACGACAGGTGGCAGCGTCAAACTACGCGAGCTACAATGACGTCGTTTCGGCCGCGGAGCGCTTCGACATGGTCAACGCCGGAACACGACGGACGCACGTCGGCAGTACGCGACAGGGCGACCGCTCGGCTCACCCCACGTTCGCCGACCCGATGGAAGTCGACAGATTCGAGGGGCGGCCACGTCCGAAAAACACCAACTACACGTGTGATTTTTGCGGGGTGCCGGGCCACCGAATCTTCGACTGCAACAAAATGAAGGCCGCACGCGCAGAGTATCGGGCACGCAACAGTGGCGGAAATCTTTCGGCCAATCAGAAGACAAAAAACGGGAGTCGCCAGTGATTGCGGATCTAGCTGGCGAAAATAAAAAGATCCGAAAGCGGCCGCGGGATTCCGGAAAAATCAACTTCGACGAAGCTGATTCGACGCGAGAAGGAGGAAATGATGGGGGAAAATCTCCACCCCACGACCAGTCTTCGCCAGGGAAATTCGCCGAGGGAAAATCAGACTCCGCGAAAAAAGACTCTGCCGAGACGGGGAAACTCCTTGAAGACCCAAGAAATTATAAGAATTCGTTAAAGCTATCCTATAAAGATGCTTTAATGAAAACTTATGATTTTCGAGGAGCTAGAGCCTTGGAGAAAATTCGGGAGGGACTCCAAAAGAAGCAGACAGCTGTGGAGATTATACCGGTACCGGACAACTTGGGGACCAAATTAAGGAGTGTGGAAAGAAGCCGACCTTTCCACGGAGTCAACGTCCTCTCCCGACACCAGCCCACAACGACTACCCGTTCCCCAGGGAAGACGTCGGTGGAGCTGAAGCAGCTCAAGAGGAAGCTGGGGGTCTACAAGAAGCTGCACAAACCCCGAACTCCTTCTACGGATGCATCCAGTTCTTCGGCATCAATGACGCGCACAGTCGTCAAAGAAACTCCGGGCCCTGGAGAAGAGCCGTTCTCCAAGCAGCCTCGGCCAGCTGCCAGCTCAGGAGTAGACAGCAACACCAAGGTGTGTACGGAATATTGGGATGTACCCTTAGACCCAATCAATGAAACTATCTTTGGGTACTCCGAGCAACGACTGCCCCTCGTGCTCGAGGTCATCTGCAAAGGACGACGCCTCCAAGCACTCGTGGACAGCGGAGCGTCACACACCGTCTGCGACAAGGCAATGATCGACCGACTCCGGGAAGAGTACAAGCCTTCAGGATTCTCTGCAACGATGGTGGACGGCAGCAAGTTACCAGTACACGGCGAAGCAGTGCTACACCTACAAATCGGACCACTGCGCTGGAGACCTGCACTCCCCATCACCAACATCAAAGGGCTTGACTTGATCTTCGGGCGAGACTTCCTGAAAAGATTCAACCCCGAGATCAACTGGGTGAACCGCACCGCAAGCATCTACAACAATGGACGGAGAGTACAGCTACCCAACTGGGACGATACTGGAGATATCCCAGTGGAGACACTCGCACGATTCGAGAAGGACGTGAAGCGGACCGACACCGGGTTCCTGGCGATAGCAACAGAGGTGGAGAATGACGGAGAGAAAGCCTCGGAAACTCCAGAAAAGATCAAGGAATTACTGAAGGAGTTCCAAGACATTCTTCCTGACGATCTTCCGAACGAGCTACCGCCATACCGAACGCATCAACACGAGATCGTGGAGGAACCGGGTTCGAAGCCGACCTTCCGAGCACCATACCGGCTCAGCCCTACGGAGCTGACCGACATGAAGAAGCAGATCGAGTATCTCCTAGCCAAAGGACTCATCCGACCATCTACTTCGCCATACGGTGCCCCAGTACTCTTCACACCGAAACCGGACGGAAGCCTGCGCATGTGCATCGACTACCGAGCTCTTAACAAGCAGACCATCAAGAATAAATATCCGATACCGCGAATCGATGACCTACTTGACCAGCTTCGGGGAGCTACGGTATTTTCCAAACTGGATCTGCGGTCCGGATACTGGCAGATACGGATGGCGGACAACTCTATCCACAAAAACTGCTTTCCGAACTCGGTACGGATCGTACGAGTATTTGGTCATGCCGTTCGGACTCACCAACGCGCCGGCAACGTTCCAAGCCGAAATGAACCACATTCTACGACCACTTCTGGACGAATGCGTGGTGGTGTACCTGGACGACATACTCATCTACTCGCGCGACATGAAGCAGCACGTCGAACACCTGCGACGCGTCTTCGAAATTCTTCGACGAGAACGATTCTACGTCAAACTGTCCAAGAGCGAATTCGCCCTGGAGAAAGTCCAATTTCTAGGACACTTGGTGAGCGCTCAAGGAGTTCACGTCGACCCCAAGAAAATCGAAGCCGTACGTACGTGGAAGACACCCGAGAACGTGAAGGAGTTGCAGCAGTTCCTAGGCTTCGCTAATTACTACAACAGGTTCGTGCCACAGTATGCGAAACTCGCGGCACCACTCACGAATCTGCTGAAGAAGAACACGCCCTACAAATGGGAGACGAAGCACCAGGAAGCCGTGGAGCAGCTGAAACAAGCACTAACGTCCGCACCGGTGCTCATCTTGCCAGATCCCGAACGCGACTACGTAATCGAAGCTGACGCCAGCGACCAGGCAGTGGGAGCAGTCTTGATGCAAGACCAGGGGAATGGACTGCAACCAATTGCCTACCTCAGCAAGAAACTGCACGGGGCAGAACTCAACTACCCGATACACGACAAAGAGGCTCTTGCTATCGTTATCGCCTTCAAAGCGTGGAGATGCTATCTCGAAGGACGAAGAACGACCGTCTACACCGACCACTGCAGCCTGAAATATTTGAAGACACAACCCAACCTTTCCAGGCGGCAGGTCCGGTGGATCGACTTCCTCGAGACACACTTCCACTACGACATCGTGTACAAGCCCGGCCACAAGAACAAAGCAGACGCTCTCAGCCGGCCTGCACACGTTGCCGCGATTCAGGTCGAAGGGATGAATCCACTACTCAAGGGACTCTTCACCCACGGGTACGCCATCGACCCCGAAATTTCCTTGGCAGAAAAGCGACATCTGCTACAGTGGGACAGTGACATCGCGTACCGGAAAGGATCAGCAAAAATCTGGGTACCCAATTACCCTCCTTTGCGCCAGTTACTACTCGAAGAATACCACGACGTCCTGTACGCCGGACACTTCGGTAGCAACAAGACGCTCACCGGTATCGCCAAACACTACTACTGGCCCCATATGGCAGACGACGTCCAGAAATTCGTCACCTCGTGTGATACATGTCAGCGGATGAAGAGCAGCAAGCAGAAAAAGGCGGGACTACTGCAGCCTCTTCCTGTCCCAGAACAACCATGGCAAGTGGTTAGCCTAGACTTCATCACCGGGTTACCACCTACCTCCAGCGGTCATGACGCCATCCTTGTCGTCATTGACAAGTTCTCCAAAATGGGACACTTCATCCCGACACACACGACGGCACGCACCGAGGAGACAGCACAGCTCTTCGTTCGTCACATCATCTCACAGCATGGCATCCCAACTACACTCATCTCCGACCGAGACCCCAAGTTCACTAGCAAGTTCTGGAAGGAACTTATGTCTCTGCTCGGCACCAAACTCGCCATGTCATCCGCATACCATCCGCAGACAGACGGACAGACCGAGCGCCTCAACCAAATTGTTGAGCAACTCCTCCGAGCAGCCTGCAAGGACGACATCTCCAAATGGGACTTGCACCTGCCCGTACTCGAGTTTGCTTACAACAATGCCACACATGCCGCTACTGGACAGACGCCGTTCTTCCTCTGCTACGGACGCCACCCACTCACACCACAGAAACCGACAACATCCGCTACAGTCCAACCTGCACACGATTTCATCACAACCATGCATCAGCTTTGGGATCGGACCCATAAGCGCCTCCTTGACATTCAACAGCAACAGAAGCGCCAGGCCGATCGCCATCGCAACGACCACACCATCACGGTGGGAGACCAGGTGCTCCTCGACACCCGCAACCTGGACCTCAGCCACCTCCCATCTAAACTTCGACCTCGCTTCTGCGGGCCTTTCCTCGTTGAAGCACAGGTCACTCCTGTTACCTTCCGCTTACGCCTACCAGCTACCTGGAAGATTCACAACGCCTTCCACGTCCAACTTCTGAAGCCCTATCGGGACCCGAACACAATTTTCGTCGGACGCCAGCCGCCGCCGCCGCCGCCCGTCCTCGTCCAGAACGAACCCGAGTACGAGGTCGAGTCCGTGCTCGCACACCGCCGTCGTCGGAATGGCACCGTGGAGCTTCTTATCCGTTGGAAGGGTTATGATCCTTCTGAGGACAGCTGGGTACCTGAGTCCGACATGGGTAACGCCCGTCGTCCTCTACATGACTACCTTGTCAAGCAGGGTGTTACTTCTACCACCCAGCTTTGAGGGGGGGAAGTGTGAGAGTACGCCTCCGTTACACCACTTGGCCTTTTCCATATTTCATCTTCATTTCATTCCTCTTTTTATCTCATCGCCTTTTGCCTCATATTCCCCATTTTCCATTATCCTTTGGTTTCTTCCTTTATTATTATTATATCACCGACCAGGCATGGAATGTTCTAGACACGCTATCTAGCGTAATCCTGCTGTAATCCCTTAAAGCCAATAGCCTCGCGTGGCTATACGCAGGGTGATTCTATCTTCTAGAAGGGTCTATTCCCTTAGGATAAGATAAACCTGGTTACCTGATGTACTCTGGAAGTATAAAAGCGCCTTGTACCGATCGATAGTGCAACCTTTCCTCGACACATTCGATCCTGTGACAGTCCTCCTCGACACTCGCAATTTGCGGTTGCCGATCCTGAGCAAACTCCGACCCACATTCTGCGGACCTTTTCCAGTGACCAACCTGGTGACACCTGCCACTGTTCACCTTCGATTACCGGCTGATTGGCGCCACCACCCGGCCTTCCACGTCAATCTTCTCCGACCCTACGTCCCGAGTTCGTCGGCCTTGGCACGAAACCGCGGTGTACCGCAGCAAACGCCTTTGCAGGAACCGACGACCGAGCCTTTGAAAATTATGGGACATCGCGTCACAACGCAGCTGAACCGTCGGATGGTTGACTTCCTCGTCCGCTTGCGCGATCGCGCGTCCGAAGACGACAGCTGGGTGCCCCTCGCTGACCTAGAATCACATCCGATTCTAACGGCATATTATCAGCGTCGGAATGTCTCCGATGCCCACGGACACGTTTAGGAGGGGGGGCTAGTGTAAGGAATTGCCATTCCTTACTGCGTCGACTGCTACCGCGTACACCCGAACATCTCGACTCGTCACGTTCGGCCTTCATTTTCGGCCCAAACCTTTCCCGCGCCCCGTCCGACACTGTCGCCACATTGCCGAACCTACTCACGTTCCGAGGTTATCGCCCTAGTACGTCTATTCCTAAATAACCTCGTGCTTTCATTGCAATAGCGACCTTGTATTCTCACGTTATAGTACATTGACATCTTCTAAATCATATCAGTGGCTAGGATGTGGCTGGGGGGCATGCAATTCTAATGCCGATGTGGCAGCAGAAACCAGCCACGTATGCTTGAAAGCGAGCTTCGCATGTGCGACAAGGACAGGTCAGAAAGAATTAGTCGTGGAGGGTCGTTCAAAGCCCAACCCAAAGAGAAGAGCAGTGAACAGTATCGACAGAAGAATGCCGACACCGCCTTGCACTGTACCTGTCTCCCCCCTTTTCCCCAACTTTCCCCGACTCGCCCTGTCTTCTCCCCACCCTACCCCTCCCCCCGTTTCTTTCTCCGCCTCCCGCATCCCTTCCAACCCAACTGATTCCCGCCAAACTGTCAACAGCGGGAGCCAGTCAGCCAATCGTAACTCTCGCGGCGCGGCTCGGAGGAACATTCGGTTCGGACCATGCAATTTCGTGCCGCCGATTCGCGAATGTACTAGTCGGTCACTGTGCGAAATTCTTGCTTTCGTGACTCATCATGACTGAGGGCATTTCGAATGCCAACACAGACTACCCAAGTTCTATACCGTGTTGAAAACCTCTGCATCTCACAAAAGCTAGAATATATTACACCAAACCGAGCTGAACCCGAAACCACAAGCAAACATCTTGCCCTGTCAGTTCAAAACACCCCACCTGCCATCACTGGGCTGGACTGGACTCGTCCTAGCTTTCTTGCCAGCATTCCAGACCAGAACTGTGCTGATGTCACCGCTTTCTTGCCAACTAACCAGTGGTAAACTAACACCAATCCATCATCAACGTTCAGTCTTCGCTCTTGGACCAGCTTCAGCGAGCCGGGCTGTGCAATTCTTGTACTTATTGTTGCTGTGGCGACTAATATCCTCGTACTTACCGTTGCCGTTTTGTAACACTGTCGTACGGCCGATCATGCCGGAGATCTGGCGAGATTTATGTCGGTCATGCTGTCAGCTGTTGGCGACGAACGATTTCAGTCACAGACGGAAGCCGTCCGAAAAGCGTCGACGGAAATCGTCACGGAGATCGAAATCAGCATTTGTCACTGCTACTAGTGACGGATGGTCGACCTGACGGACTTATAGTTAGCTCGACGGCACAATCGTTAACTTTGACGGACCGATCGTTACCTCTGGAAGACTGATCGCTAACGTTGACGGACTGATCGTGACGGACTGATCGTGACGGACTATTCGTTAGCTGAACCATGGCGCTTAGAAACCCTCGTTTATCCTCTCGTCCTCTCCGTCGCACTTTCCTCCTGCTCTCCGTATTCTCCGCCGCGTTTTCCGCCGCTTTTTCAGCTGGAGTGTCTGAAAACGCTCCCGCAAGCGCTCCCGCAAGCGCTCCCGCCCCGTCTCCCAGCGACGAGATAATTCCAGATATCCCCGGTATAGACTACTCCGTCAATATCACGCTTCCGGTCGTTTCAGGCACATCAGGGGATCCCGTGGGTCCCCCCATTTGCTTTGAGCAAGGGCTATCGCCGCACCCGGTTCCGGTCCCTTGTGGCGAAAACTCTTCGCTAACAGCGACGTCGCAAGTGGCGTCGCACAGCATTTCGCAAGCGGCGTCGCTCCCCAGCGCGCGAATCGCATCTATCGGTGGTTCGAGTCGACCCCTAGTCGCAGAGAATTCCACGCCGAACCTGACACCCGCTACTGAGCTCTTCGATATATGCACTGGAGGAGGTACGCTACTACACTTCCCCCCCCCCTCCCTTCCCATTCCTAACTGTGCCGAACCTAACTGTGCTGGAAGGTAGGCGCTTTGCTCTCGGCGCGCTTTGCATCGATTTTGCCGCGCTATCTCGTTGGCCTAGCGGCCTTTTTCGTCCCTCACTATTCCCCCATTCGTCCCTCACTCGCCCGAGCCGCATACTTAAAAGGTGCTGAGTCGACTCACTCCGAGTCGTCTCCTCGCACGTCCCTTTCACGACTTGTATCTGCCGCGCGCAACGGTCTCATGGTGAGCTCCTCGCATCGATCTTCTCCTCGCGTCGATCTGCTCCTCGCATCGAAAATTTCTTATAGCCCCGCAAAAACTGTCTGATGAACTTTTGAGTCGACTCAAAAGTCGCCTCGAAAAAACTGTCGGACCAACTAACTGTGTGCCGCGAGATTGTCGCATCCCCCCGCCCCCCTCCCCCCTCCCCCCTCCCCCCTCCCATTTTCCTTCCCAGGCTCAGAATCGGTGTCTCTGACTCAGCGGCGGGCGTAACAAGTAGCTGTGTGCCTGCTCTTTCCCCCACCCTTCCCCACCCGCCCTTCCTCCCTCCCCGCTCCTGGCTCTGCCAGTGACTCTGGATCCCTGGCGGCAGATCAAGTTGATTGAGTGTCTCGTGTCTCTGCGCTTTCGCCCATCCTCCCCCACCCTCCCCCACTCTCCCCCACTCTCCCCCCACCCGCCCTTCCTCCCTCCCCCCCTCCTGGCTCTGTGCCAGTGACTCTGGATCCATGGCGGCAGAACAAGTTGATTGAGTGTCTCGTGTCTCCCGTCTCCCCTCACCCTCCCCCACGCTCCCCCACCCTCCCCCCTGCCCAGGCTCCGCGTCAGTGACTCCGAACCCGCGCAGGCGGAACAAGCGGGCTGATGCTCTTCCCCCACCCTCTCCCCCCTCCCTTCCACCCCTTTCCCAGGCTCCGCGTCAGTGACGCTGAACCCGCGCAGGCGGAACAAGTGGCGAGGCTGGGGCACCTCCCTCTGCTGGTAAGCCACCCCTCCCCCCCGTCCCCCCCCCTCTCCCCGCCTCTCTCTCTCCCCCTCGCTCTTCTCCCCCGCTCCCGATCCATTATCCCTCCCTCCAACCCCTTTCTGGCTGGATACGGCAGGGGAGCAAGTGGCGAGGCTGGGCTGTGCTGGTAAGACTGCAGGTGAAGATGTGGGGTGAGGGGAAAGGGGGGGGGAGTGGGGGTGAGGTGAAGGGGAGGGGAGGGGGTTGAGGTGAAAAGGGGGGGGAGGGGGGGTGAGGTGGAAGGATGTATGCTTCATAGATAGCTTCCTTCAATCCCACTTCAATCTCCTTGCGGCCCTCTTGTCCCTGTCCCCGCCCTTCAATGCACCACCCCCACTTTTCTCCCTTGACTCAACACATCCCCCTGACCTTCCCTCTCTCTCCTTCTATACTTCCCAGTCTAGGAAACTTCGTGTGTGGTTTCCCTGATGCCCACTTTAACCCTTAATGGACCTCCTATTCTTTCTCTTTCAGGTCCAAACCTCAACATAGTCTGCTCCAGCATAGGAGGCGGGCATAATGAGACTAACAACTCCCAGGTTCAAACAGACACTCCCTCTCAATGCACCGACCCCACTTCTCTCCATTGACTCAATACTCTCCTTCTGATATCCCCTCCCACCCTTCCATCCCTCTCAGGCTAGGAAACTTCGTGGGTGGTTTCCCCGATGCGCACTTGAACCCTCTCATGGACCTCCTATTCTCCCCATCGGACTAAACCTCAACATAGTCCGCTACAACATAGGAGGCGGCAACAACGCTACCAACAGTCCCCGACTCCAAACAGGCTGGGGAAAATGGCGGGGCATGCCGGGCTTTAAAGCCACAGAGCAAGCAGGCTACAACTGGTCAGCAGACGACAGGCAGCGGAAAGTTTTGTTCGCTGCCCGGGCGCGTGGGGCAGACACATTCGAAGCTTTTGCCAACAGCCCGCCCTGGTGGATGACTGTGTCTGGGGATGTTGCCGGGGCAGCCAACTACGGAGAGGGGAATTTGAAGGTGGAGTACGAGGAAGCTTATGTGGAGTATCTCACTGATGTGGTGGAGAAATTTGCTAAGGATACTAGCTGGGGTAAGGGAATGGTGTTTGATACCTTGGAGCCGTTTAATGAGGCTTTGGAGGGGTGGTGGATGAAGGGGGGAGGGCAGGAGGGTTGTAACATCGGTTTTCAGCAGATGAAGCGGATTCTACTGATGACCCAGGCTGCTCTTGAAAGGAAGCAGCTTAAAACGGGGATTGCCTCGGTGGATAGCTTTGTCCAAACCACCCCGAGACAGATTGGGACTCTGAACCCGTTCCTCGCCCGTTACAACGTGCATGGTTACATAAGCCTGGCGAAAAAACGGAACGAGTCCGGTCGAGTGGACAACCCAAAAATTTTATGATATGAAGCGGATGGCGAAAGGGCAGGAGAAAGAGGTGTGGGTTTCGGAATGGGGGCCTCTCATGCGAGGCGGGGAGGATATGGACGTGGCACTTTTCATGGCGAGGTCAATCATTGCGGCGATCAACATTTTGGAAGCTACTGGGTGGGTCTTTTGGCAGGCGATTGACCCCGTGGCATCCTGGGCGCTGATCCACATCGACTGGTCGAAAACGCCGGATGAGTCTACAGTCTACACTCCGCCGACGGTCTCCAAAAAGTTTTGGATCTTGAAGCATTTTACGAGTCTCGCTCCCGCAGGCAGCAAGCGGCTGTATGTCAACAAGGCGGCATGTAACTACGGGATTGCTGCTTTCTACACCCCGAAGAAGAGAATGGTCAGCGTGTTTGTAGTGAATCAAAAGGCAACACCAAGATATGTAAAGATTCACATACCTTGGTGGTTTTTGAGAAATGTGGGTGGCAAATCAAAGGTACACTCCTGGAGGACATCGTACGCTGATGACTTGGTGAAAGTTAACTACAGAGGAGGACATTGGCCTATACGCTTTGCAATCCCTGGTAGGTCGTTTGCCTCGTTTGCGCTTACACATGTAAGACCACTATGGTAGAGCTGCCCCTTCTCGTAGGATCTAGGCTAGTGTGCAGTATTCCTTCCTTTTGTCTCATACCTACCTACCCACCTGGCATTGTAGTGTGGGGAGATTTGTCAACACACATATATATACATATATATGTGTGTGTATGTGTGTGTGTGTGTGTGTGTGTGTGTGTGTGTGTGTGTGTGTGTGTGTGTGTGTGTGTGTGTGTGTGTGTGTGTGTGTGTTGGCTAGGTAGGTTTAATACTCGGTAGTTTCCTACTGTTAAGGGGACAACTCTTTTCTTGTACAAACGTATTTGTATATGTTATAATTGTCAAACATAACTTATGCACTTACTGTAGACTGTATATGTTGATGCCTTAGTGGGTACAGCTCACCAATCTATATTGCTTCGTATCTCCCCGTTCTAGTCATTATTCTTTCAGACATGGTATCCTAGTAGGTTAGGTCCCCCCCTAGCCCGCCCACGCTTCCGCCCCTAGGCCCTAGCCGCCGTCTTGCCCCGCTCCTAGCCGGCCCCCTGGCCGTTCGCGCCTCTCCCTAGCCGGCCCCCTAGCCGTCGCACCCTACCCTAGCCGGCCCCCAGACCGTCGCGCCCGTCCCTAGCCCCCCCCCCCTGACCATCGCGCCCGTCCCTACCCGGCCCCTGGCCGTCGCGCCCGTCCCTAGCTGGCCCCCTGGCCGTTCGCGCCCGTCCCTAGCCGGCCCCCTGGCCGTCGCGCCCGTCCCTAGCCGGGCCCCCTGACCGTCGCGCCCGTCCCTAGCCGGCCCCCTGGCTGTCGCGCCCGTCCCTAGTTGGCCCCCCGACCGTTCGCGCCCGTCCCTAGCCGGCCCCCTGGCCGTCGCGCCCGACCCTAGCCGGCACCCTGGCCGTCGCGCCCGTCCCTAGCCGGCCCCCTGACCTACGCACCCGTCCCTAGCCGGCCCCCTGGCCGTCGCGCCCGTCCCTAGCCGGCCCCCTGGCCGTCGCGCCCGTCCCTAGCTGCCCCCCGGGCCGTTCGCGCCCGTCCCTAGCCGGCCATCTGGCCGTCGCGCTCGCCCCTAGCTGGGCCTTGGGTCGTTCGCGCCCGCCCCTAGCTGGCCCCCTGGCCGTCGCGCCCGCTTCTAGCCGGCCCCCTGGCCGTCGAGCCCCTCCTAGCCGGCGCCCTGGCCGTTTTGCGCCCGCTTCTAGCCGGCCCCCTGGTCGTTTGCACCCGCCCCTAGCCGACTCCCTCGCCGTCGTGGCCGCCCCTAGCTGTCGTCGCGGCCGCCTCTAGCCGTCGTGGCTGCCCCTAGCTGCCGTCGCGGCCGTTTCCAGCCGGCTCACGGTCGCCCCTCGCCGTCGCGGCCGCCCTGCCACCGTCGCTGCCGTCTCCAGCCGCCCCACGGTCGCTCCTGCCGTCGCGGCCGCCCCTAGCCGCCGCCGCGGCTGTCCCTGGCCGCTGTCGCGGCCGGCTCTCCTCGCCGTCGCGCCAGCTCCTAGCCGGCCCCGATTGCCGCCGTTTGCTGGCCCCTCGCGTCCGTCGCCCGCCGGCCCGCCCCAGCATTCGCGTCGTCGCCAGCCCGGCGACGCCTCGGGTTCGGCCCGTTCTTCCCGATCAGCACTGCCCTGCGAACCCCCCGGTACCGTACTGCACAGCTTTGTACTGCACTGCACCGCACTGTACCGCACTGCACCCCACTGTACCGCGCTGCACCGCATTGCACCGCACTGTCCTGCACAGCACCACACTGCGCTGCACTGCACTGTTCTGCACCGCTCTACACTGCCCTCTGTTGTCACTGATAGCGGAGGTGCTTCGTTTTGACGCTGAGAGCCAGCCGATTGAGTTTGATGCGTGGCTTGCTGACCTCCGTCGCCACCTCACTCGTCAGCGGCAGGATGGCCACTCGCTGTCTGTCCATCTTGACCGTACCCACCCCTGCCCTGACCCCCCCGCTGCACTGTCTACTGACTCCTCGTCCGCTGAGCGTGAGTCCGCTGCGGCCGCTGCCCTTGCTCGCTCTGTCTGGCTGTCCCGTGACACTGTCGCACAGCTTGCCATTAGCAATGCCCTCCCCCTGTCCGAGCGACCTCGCTTCAGGTCTATCACCACTACCCAGGCTTTCCTAGATGCTGTTGTTCAGCGCTATTCCACCCCGCCTGTTGCCTCGGTAGGTCGTCTTATCCTCCCCATGCTCTTCCCTGACCTTGCGTCGTTCCCCACTGTCGCTGACCTAGCCGCTCACCTGCGCACTATAGATGAGACCTGGCGTGTTGCCTGCACTGCCTTCTCCGACGGTTCTGCAGCTGTGGCTGAGATTGCCGCTGCAGCACAGGTCCGTCCGGGGAAGGGTCGCCGCCCCAAGGCTGGACGTGGTGGCGGGGGTGGGGGTGCCGGTGTAGGTGGTGCTGGAGCTGGGTCTCCTGGTGGTGGTGCGGACGTGGGGACCCTGACAGATGCAGCCGACCAGCCGTCTCAGCAGCCGCCGGTGTTGCAGCCGGACTCGCATCAGCCACAACAGCCGCCGCAGCAGCAGAGATAGGCAAGTAGTCTCCCGCCCGGGTGGCCTGGCGCTGGTGGTAGCGCTGGACGTGGTAGTGGTGCACGTGGTGGGCTGCCGGGTGGTGGTTCGGGTGACGCGCGATGTCAGTACCAACTCCAGACTGGTCCTCGCCGTGGCTTCGTTTGCGGTAAGATCGGTCACACCTCCGTCCGCTGTTTTTGTCGCCTGGACGACCTGTTTCGTCAGCGCTTCGGCCCGTCGCCCGAGCTTCCAGACTGGCACAGCTTGCTTCGACGTAGGGTTCAGATTTTTGATCTGGATATGGATGAGATTGTTGCTGCTCTGCATGTGATGTATGCTGATGACTCTAGTGTGCTTCTGTCTTATTACCCCTTGTTGCCTAGTGTAGGTGTGCCTTGCTTAGCCTCCCCTGCTGCGTCAGGCGTAGGACCCCCTGCTTTGTTTAGCCTTGGTGCTTCCGTCGCTGCTTCGCCTCTGGCCGCCACTGCCGCGCTCTCCTTCACCCTCGACTCTGGCGCTTCCTGGTGCTTCTTCTGCGACTCCACCACGTTGACACCGCTTCCTATCCCTGCCGCAGTCTCTCTTGCTGACCCCTCCTCCAGCCCTGTAGTTGCCCGCAATTCCACCACCCTCCCCTGCCTAGCGGTTACTTCAGGCTCGCTTACAGGACTGCACATCCCCTCGTTCTCCAGGAACCTATCTGGTTTCGGCTGCCTTCGGGATCTTGGCGTCACCACGACGTTCCCTGGTCACGAGCAGTACGCTGTGTGTACTGAGGCCGCCACTGGTGCCCCCCTGTCCACGTTCCCCCGGGACCCAGTGTCTGGTCTTTTCACACTGGACACAGTGACCCCCCCGGCTCGAACCCCCCCTCAGGTGGCTGCGTCTCCCCCGGTTGCTGCTGCCTGCTCCTGTCGGTCTCTTACCCACTCGACTCTTCTCTGGCACCACCACCTAGGTCACCCTGCGCTCCCGCGTCTGCGTCACATGTCACAGCACGATCTCGTCCTAGGCCTCCCCGAGTCGTTCCCCGAGTTTCCCTCCTCCCCAGCCCCACCTTGCACGCCCTGTGTCGAGGGCCGGCTCCGTCGTGCCCCTCACTCCTCCTCTTTTCCCCCTACCGCAGCACCGCTATAGACTCTGCACATGTCACAGCCCCGCCCCCGTCCATGGGCCGCGTCAGAGCGCTACTTCCTAGTGCTTGTCGACGACTACACACGCTACACCACGGTGTTTCCCATGGAGTGGAAGGCGGATGTGCCTAACGTTCTTATCTCGTGGGTCGTAGCTGCGCGCCTCCACTACGGTCTCCCTGTGCTATGTTTCCACTCTGACCGTGGCGGCGGGTTTGCCTCTGCTCGGCTTGGACAATTCTGTCATGGGAGGGCATCACCCAGTCGTACACCCTACCGGACTCCCCGCAACGGAATGGGATCACTGAGCGACGCATCCGTTTGGTCATGGAGGTGGCTTGCACCTCCATGATCCATGCTGGTGCACCCCATTTTCTGTGGCCGTTCGCGGTTCGCTACGCCGCTCACCAGCTTAACCTGTGGCCGCACCCCCAGCAGCCTCAGGTTTCGCCGACCCTTCTTTGGTCTGGGTCCCTTGGTGACGCGTCTGCGTTTCACGTCTGGGGCTGCCTTGCACACGTTCGTGCCTCTGGCACGGACAAGCTCACTGCCCGCACCCTTCCCTGTGTCTTCCTCGGCTTCCCCCTTGACGCGTCTGACTCGCACTTCTACCACCCGCCGTCTCATCGGTTCTTTCATTCCCGCGACGTCACCTTTGTCGAGTCCGTCTCCTTCTTCTGCCGCTTCCCCCACCGAGGTCCCCCGGTTACCCCACCCTGTTCATGGTCACCCCTTCCCCGGTCGTCGCCGCCCCTCCTCCTCCCCCTCCCCGTCCTGCCCCCTCTGGTGTGTCCCACGTCACCCCACTTCTGTCGGTTGTTCCGGTTGAGAAGTCTGCTGACGCTGGTGGTCCTGCGACACAGTCCTCGCCGCCTGCCCCTTCTCAGGTGTCTCCTCCTCCGCCGCCTCCGCAGCCGCCATCGCCACCGCTGTCGCAGCCGTCGTCCCCGCCGCAGCCGCCGCCGCTGTTCGTTGCCTCTGGGGGTGCTAGAGTTGGGGTGGGGACTAGTCCTGGGACTCCTGTCGTGGCTTGTCCTGGCTGGCCTGGGGGTGGTACCGGTGCTCGAGGGGTTCTGAGCTCTGGGGGTGTTTCTTCTGGGGGTGCTGGCGTGGAGTGTTCTGGAGGTCGCCGCCCGGCAGCTTGCGGTCCTGGTGTCGGTGTCACACCGCCGCCGCAGCAGTCCCCGCTGGTGTCCACTCTTCGCCTGCTCGGCCTTCCATCCCCTGACCCCGTGCCTGTACCTCCTCCTATCTACGGCCCTGTGTTCCCTCCTCCGGACTCGTCTTCGGCTCGTTTCCCCCCTCGTTCCCCTCTTGTGTCCCCTCCTCTGTCTCCTGACCTGACTCCTCCGTCTCACGTCTGGTCTCGCCATCCCTCCCGTGCTCGACCTGTCTCCCCAACGCTCTCACCCTATGTTGCTTCGTTCCTACACATCTCGTCCTCCCCTTCTCCCGTCGCCCCCTCCGTCCTCCCTTGTCGTTGCTCCCCCCCCTCTGTCTGACTACCTACATGCCGCTCGTCCTCTTGTTCCTCGGATCCTTGCCTCCCTCGTTACCGACCCGTCTGTTCCGGTTTCGAGTCTTGACACCCTTGTAGCTGCGGTCGCTGACTTCGCCTCTACCCGCCACCTTGACTACGCCACCGCTCTGG